CAATCATGACCTCAGCGTTGAGTAAAACAACAAGTGATTATTTTGTCAGAATGGTTTGGGTTGAGACTTGTTTTGATGGTCTGCCGCTTTCTGGGAACATTAGACGATAATGCTTTAAACTATTTATATTTCAGCCTGGCACTTTTTCCTGTTAATATGAGTGAGCTAAACCGGGAACTACACCCGTGCCAGCAATGAATTAAGTCTACATTAGTATCACGAGTCAACACAAACATATTTGAATGGTTACTGAAGAAAAGTGGAAAATGATTCATATTTTCTGAAAAATGGCCAAAAAATGACACCTTTTCCCAGAGTATGTAAACTGCATTAATAATAATGCATTGGTTTTATATTTTTTGGACACTCAAAGACTCTTTACATGGTGGTGATAAACTACTGCTGTAGCCACAGCTGCCCTGGGGCACACCGACAGAAGCGAGGCAACCAGTATGCGCCATCGGCCCCTCCGACCACCACCAACCATTCACACACACACACCAGACTAATTCTAGGCAATTGGGGTGAAGTGTCTTGCCTAAGGACACAACGGCAGTTTGGCAGTTTAGAGTGCCAAACCTGGTGTTCTCAGAGGTTAAGTGTCTTGCCCAAGGACACAACGACAGCAGACAGTGGGAGTCAATGGCCCACGACCCTCTGGCTCAGAGGCCAATGCTCTACCAACTGAGCTACTGTTGCCCATAGAGAACATAGAGAAACTTCAGACAACCATCTTGACGTTACTAGGCAAGGCAAGTTTTTTTTTACAGTAAAATTCATACACCTGACAACTCAGAAGGCTTCACAAAAACAAGATAAAAACATTAAAATCATGAAAATCAATTAAAATCCTCAATAAAAGTGTGAAATAATGGTTCTGATATTGTGATTTAGAGGTAGTGGGTATAAGGACGACAGTAGCCTGAAGGTCGGGGGTTTGAGCCCCCCTCGAGACCTTCTCCACCAACTCCCACTGATGTCAGCTGCGTCCTTGGGCAAGACACCTAACCCCACTTTGCCTGAAGCCCCCACTGACAGATCAAGGCTGTGTTGTCACTGACAGAGCAGCCATTCTCCTGTGGGGCTGGCGCTCTGACTGCCACCAACCCAGAAAAGGATTAAGGGGAAGAAGATGGATGGAATAGTGGCTCATAATGTTGAACTTATTTGGTCGTTTCAAAGGTACATAGGTGGATTTTCTACTTCTGGGTGGATTGTCGACTATTGATCCTCCCCATTAACAATCCTTCTGGTGATACGTCGTCAAATAAGGCTAGAGATTTTTGTTCAAAAAGTGGAGAGGGCGGTTCTTTCCTAAAATTTGGGAAAATCTCTATAATCCTTTAAGTTCCAAACATTACATATCACTCCCGTTGGTCATTCCACCCACATCGCTCCAACCAATGGAAGAAACAGTTGGAAGAAGCTGCTGGAGAGCGAACGCAAAACATGTATTATTTTAAAAAGCAGGTTAATGAAAAATCCATTGTTTATTCCAGTTAAAAAGTGACGCGTCATAGCTCGTTGCTCAAGTGGTCTTCACGAGGTCTGTGCTTTTAGGCAGCGGAAAAACAAGCCACGGGTTCCTTTTCATTTCTTAGCTGTCGTTACTTTGTTCTTAGAGGGTATGGTAGAGGGTAAGCTCCACACCGCGATGCCAACAGCTCTAAAATTGTGCATAATGGATCTTTTAAAATCATCTGCTTCCTCATCAATTTCCCTTCCTTCAAGTCAAGGATATAGAAAATTCATGAGTCATATTTTTTTTTTTTGTGTGTGGAAATGCTGGCATGGCTTTGAAAAATAGTCACTGGTCGTAAAAAACCCAAGCGTCATTCTTTGGCAACAGATGAATAATACATGGGCCACATCTTGAACATGACTTTTGGCAGACATCAGATCTCCCATTGACGAGCCAACAGGGACACATCAGAGCGAGGAAGTGAGTGAGCGAGTCTACTGCGGGTGCCAGGTCTCCTAATCAAAGGCCTAAACGACTTTGTGCTATTAGCTTTTGGAAAAATGGTCGGCGTTTATGAGCGGTGTTTCATAAAGCCGGGCCGTTGCTGTAGATCAGATTTATGTGGCTCCGTACCTTCAGCTGCTGCGACGCTGTTAATCAATGCCCCGTCTCCTTGTCCTCACATAATTCCTACAATTAACAATCACGTTCCACTGGCGGGAAACCCATGGAAGGTGGAGAGGGAAAAGTGGAAGGACAGGGCTGACCTCGGGCACAGTCAGAAGGCCTCAGAGCATCCGGGATTTGGTTTTTACTCATCAATCCTGCGTTTTTATTAGACCAAAAGAAATGGCTTCCAATCATATTTTGAATAACCTGAATAATAATGTTTTCCTTTTTGACTCGGGAGGTGGTGATGATCGAGGAACATCAATATTTATGGACGTTTATCAGTAATTATGGACATTTATCAACAATTTTGGACTTTATCAACAATTATGGACAATTATCAATATTTATGAACATTTATAATTATGGACAATTATCAATATTTATGAACATTTATAATTATGGACATTTATCAATAATTATTAGGGCTGACACAACTAATTGATTAATCGACGACTAATCGATTATTGAAATAGTCGACAACTATTTTATTAATCGATTAATCGTTTTCTGGTTCACAGGGACTCAAACAGAGCAAAAATTACATGAAAATGTAGTATTTTTGATTAAAACCGACTTTGTTTTTATAATTTCATGAATATCTGTCTGTCTCATCCAATCAGAGCAGAATTAGCACAAAGAGCCTGTTACATACATTTACTTTAAGTTTACGCCTCAATACGTCCTCGAGTGTTGCCACTTTAGCTTTTTGTGATGAAAAAATAAATGTTTTCTACACAATTCACAGCCAAGCAATTACTTGATTAATCGTAAAAATAATCGATAGATTAATCGATTACAAAATAATCGTTAGTTGCAGCTCTAATAATTATGGACATTTATAAATAATTATGGACATTTATCAATAATTATGGACATTTATAATCATGGACATTCATCAATAATTATTTACATTAATCAATAATTATGGACATTTATCAACAATAATGAACATTTATAAATAATTATGGACATTAATCAACAATTTTGGACATTTATCAATATTTTTGGACATTTATATATATGGACATTTATCAACATGTATGGACATTTATGGACATTTATCAATAATTATGGACATGTATCAATATTTCGACATTTATAATTATGGACATGTATCAATAATTATGGACATTTATCAATATTTCAACATTTATAATTATGGACATGTATCACACACATTAGTCCGGTCCTCAGGTCCCTGCACTGGCTTCCTGTGGCTCAGAGAATAGACTTTAAAACAGCTCTGCTTGTGTACAAATCTCTCCATGGCCTCGCACCAAAATATATTAGTGACATGTTAGTCCCATATGAACCAGCCCGGACTCTGAGGAGCACAGGGACTGGACTCCTGTTAGTGCCCAGAGTCAGAACTAAACATGGGGAGGCTGCTTTTCAGATTCATGCTGCTAAAATCTGGAACAATCTTCCTGAAGATGTGAGACAGGCCTCCTCTCTGACAATGTTTAAAACCAGGTTAAAAACGGTGCTGTTTAGCTGTGCATACAACTGAGGGATTTTATATTTTTATCTTTCGTTTTAATGTTCTGTAATTATTTATGATTTTAATGCTATCTTGTTCAGCACTTTGAGTTGCCTTGTGTATGAATTGTGCTATACAAATAAACTTGCCTTGCCTTGCCTTGCCTTGCCTTGCCTTGCCTATCAATATTTCAACATTTATAATTATGGACATTTATCAATAATTATGGACATTTATCAATAATTATGGACCAGTGGCTTTATGTGTTTTTAACCATAGGATTTATTTTTTATTTAGATTTTTGATTCTCTGATCTGTGTTGGCAAATTCAACGGTTTGGTAAAGTCTGTCCTCCGTGATTCAAGAATACATTGAAATGGAAATCTGCAGAGAATAATTTTATATTCAGAAAAAAACATTATTATTGAATGATCTCGATTTCCAATTCAGATTTAACATGTTTTTTATGTTTTATTTTTTTATTCAACTGATATTTTTTAATTTCATTCTATTATTTTTGTTCTTTTTTGTAGATGTTTATTTATATTTTTAAATTTAGTTTGTTCAGTGTTTCTTCTTGTGTGTGTGGGTATGGCTGTGTGTGTGTTTTTTTGCTTTTTAAATTAATACTTATGGTTTGCTTTGTTTTTTGTTGTTGTTTTCTTCTTTTTTTTCTTCCACACTAATGTCTGTGTGAATGTAGAAGTTATATCTAAAAACACAAATAGATATATTGTATAAAAAGCTTCTGCCGTCGCTTCTGAACAAGTTGCTTTGAGAGATTTAATACAGTGATGTGACTTGATCTGTATCGATCCTGAATCTTTAATCCGCTCTTTTGCAGATCTTTGCCCCAAAACCGAGCTCTGGGAATAGTAAGATTATTCACAACATGTTTCCACAGAAATTGCTTTGCACGTTTGATGCAGTTGTTTATTATTTGCTGCGGAGGAAAATCAATGTGATATTTATCCAGAGCAGATGGGACCAGGACTGTCTTTCACCTGAACAGAAGTAGTTTGTGTGAAGCTGGAGGCGCCGACGGCAGAATCTTCTCCCATTAATGAAAAAGCTTTTGGATCTTTAAACTCGTCTCATCTCGTCCACTCAGGTCTCGGTGACAAATGCACTTTTATGCACTTTGTTTGGAGCAGATTCAGGTGTTTCAGGTGTTTTACTGTATATGAGCGACTCCTCCATCTCAGGGCGGATCATGACCTGATGATTGGACAAATACATGTGTTGTTTGATTTCATATTAAGAGAGAGAGACGTCAACACTGTTGTCGTTGTGTCCTTGGGCAAGACACTTAACCCCACTTTGCCAGAAGCCCCCGCTGGGAGATCAAGGCTATGCCATAGAGCATAGGGGAGGGGGGGAGGACCGATGGACTTCACTGCACTCATCATAGATTCCGAGATGATCCCACACATGTTTTTCAGTGCGTGGTCCGGATCGGGGCCGTGTGCAGAGGCCACGGCTGTAATGAGATCCGACGCCTTTCGAGCCGCTGCCTTCGAGACAAATTGCTCGGTCTTTGTCACGAGGTGATTCCGGAACGCGACAGACAACAAACTTGAGCTAACAAGCTTCAACTTTGTATTTACGGCAAACAGTAAAAAGTCTTATTTGGCAACTGCTGATTAGGCCAACGCTGCACTTTTACATTTTATTAGAAAAATAACAGTTCTAAAGTGGGATCTTTTGAAGGCCCTTGTTGATAAAGGCACAGATGGCTCATAAATGAACAGATAGCTCCTCAGAGGCCCGGTGCGCAGTAAAACACTGGACTGAGGAAAACAAGTCTGGCTCCGTGAAATCTAACCAATAAAACACCTTTTTAAATGTTTATTCTGTTTTATCATTAAGACCATTGTGGTTTAAGGCCAGTGCGGCAAAACCAAGACATCACAATCATTTTTATTATTCTTCTTTATTCTTTACATGTGTTTAACGATATACCAAACAATACATCAAATGATCGAAATGTACAGTTCACATGTCAGAATAGGAGCATGTTGAAGACCGAGTCTTATTGTTCATGCCCCTAAAGCAAAAAAGAAAAAAATAACATTTATTTTGATGATGATGAGCGCCTCAAAAAAATAAATATAAATACAATCTACACACATTTGCTTATATACAATATACACACATTTAGTTTCCTCACAGTATAATTACTATTGTTATTATTCTCTTTTTTTTTTCTAAATTGTTTTTTGAAATATGTATTGGTCAATGATTAACACACATTTTACTTTATTTTAACCTCTAATTCCAAATATTTTGTACATGCATATACACACACACACAAATATGCACACATCAAAGTATGTACACATTCACACACCCACACACAGGCATGCACATATCAAAGTATGTACACACACACACACACACACACACAGGCATGCACATATCAAAGTATGTACACATACACACACACACACACACACAGGCATGCACATATCAAAGTATGTACACATACACACACAGGCATGCACATATCAAAGTATGTACACATACACACACAGGCATGCACATATCAAAGTATGTACACATACACACACACACAGGCATGCACATATCAAAGTATGTACACATACACACACAGGCATGCACATATCAAAGTATGTACACATACACACACAGGCATGCACATATCAAAGTATGTACACATACACACACAGGCATGCACATATCAAAGTATGTACACATACAGTAGGTCCCATTTCGTTTTGTCGTCTTCATTCACGCTTTTCATGAATCACTCAGCTGCGTGAAACATATTACATCCTATCGCCACTAGGTGGCAGGTTAAGTCCGCTTTAGCTCTGCCAGCGACTTAAACGCTCAGGTATAAGACTGCGTGCAAACCTGTTTTGCCTAGTGACGCACACATGTGGCGCAGAACTAAAAAAGGTCTTGTTATGACTCTCAAATCATTAATGACAAAACAAAGACTAAAACGAGGATTTATATCGGGATGCCTTTGAACAATTGAGACAGCTGATAAAAGTTCACGTGTGATGCAGAATTTTCTAGTTTGAATCCGTTCTTCACAGTGTCTCTGTTCGTGTGAATTGGTGGTCTAGTGGTCTAAACTGTGCGCTTACGACGCAGGAACCCGGGTTCGATCCCGGGCTATGTCTTTTTGTATTTATTGCATGTTATCACATTCTATGACAGATTGCTCTAAAAACGGTAAAAGATGAAGGTCAAGACGTTTTTTTGCAGATTATAGCTTAATTGTAAAAATAATCATTTAAGACCACATGTACCCCAATTAAAATAATGTTAGTCTCTTTTTGATGTGGAACTTTTACATGTTTGTCTAAAAAATAGGGAATAAATAAAATTGAAAGGTGATATCCTCTTGAGCAAACCCTGATGTTGATACGCTGAAGAAATACGTTCCAACATCCATTCTTCCCACTCCTATTTTGGACATCAATTGCTTATTTATTTTGCATAAACTATGTATAATTACATTGCTTTTCTTTATTTATTGACTGTGACTGCAGTACCACTTTTGGCCAGATTTTTACATATTGATCCTTTAAGTCATCTTTTATTTGAAAACAATCACCGCATGAAAAGTGTGATTTTTGTCTCTTTTCGGCCCTGTATATTACTGTGAAACTTCTGGGATTCGGCTGTTGACGGTAGTTTGTTGTCCCCTCCTCCCTCCTCCACAGGAGGCTTTAACATGTAAATGGGAATGCTGTGAGCTATACAAATGCTAATCAGGGTCGAGGGGGTGCACAACTTGATCCATGCTGCACAACTCCTGCACAACTTCTTTCAGTCAGTCTGCAGCATGGATCAGGTCAGCACACTGTAGACCCGGATTTTGTAAATGCTCAAACTGTTTACACACACACACACACACACACACACACACACACACACACACACACACACACACACACACACACACACACACACACACACACACACACACACACACACACACACACACACACACACACACACACACACACACACACACACACACACACGCACACAGAGAAATATTTCATCATGATTGATTATAGCTTGTCATGTCAAAATCAATTAAATAAATCCAATAGGACTAGATAATGAGTATATATATATGAGTGCAGTATATTAAACTGAACACAGTAAAACTTACAGCTGCTGCTGCTGCTGCTTCTGCAGCTCAAACTGCTGATCACTGATGCTGCACCTGCTGAGCACCTTCTGCCTCTGACTGCACACTCCCTGAAGAACCAATGTTAACAAAAATGTCTGTTTTGATTAAGAAGAAAACCACATTCACATTGAACCAAAAGGCCAACCAATATTCGTATATTGGTTGGTAGTAATTGTATAACTGTTTGTAATGTACAATTGAATAGTTCGTCTTTCAACCGATGTTTAAAGCTTTTATCGTTGTCAGCAGTGATCCACCGCAGAGCAGGCTTCAAAAGTAGTCACCGACTTTCCACACTTTGGAAACTGATTTTAACGAATTTACCAAAGAAATTAAACGGATTCAAAGTCTTTCTTTCTATTTTCAGTGGGATCATTTATTGTCTTCACGTTTTTACTTTTGTGGACAGTAACTTGGCCTTAGACTGAATAGTACGACAATAATAAAAGTCCCATCTCACCTCGAAAAGGAGCGGAAAGAAGAACACGCCTGGTACTGCTGCCTCTCTCTTCCCTTCATCTGTGTGTCAACATTTATCCACTTGTGAAATTCTATATGTAATCATGAAAATGCATAGTTTTATATCAAAGTGTTTTATAAAATGTGTTTTCATACTGGTCTGAGGACAAAGACAAGTATGAAGCTGGCTCTCACACCATAGAGACTAAAATATCAAGCTGAAGACAACACATAATTTGGGAGTGTAGCTTTCACAGATGTTTTTGAGACAAAGACCAGACCAAAGACCCAGACTTCTGCGTCCAGACCGGGACTAGACTCTGAAGTCTGGATGACGTCCGGCACTTCCTGTACACGTTCCTTAAAACTGTTCTGTACGTTTTGTTAGTCAGCTCATACGGGGAGAGAGCAGGGATGGGAGCTCTGAGTTTTGTATTTGATTGTCAAGATAATTAAATACTCTGCTTTTGATCTCTGAATCTTGGTCTTCTTATTTCTGTATCAAATTCTGAGACACGTGTATTTTTTTGACAATAACTGCAACACTTCTTTTTAAAACTTTCACTGTTGTTACTTTGGTTTCTCTTATGGAACTCGATGTATGAAGCGGCAGAAATCAGGCATAGCTGGTTGTATATTGACTTGCATGATGGCCCATGCTTTGCTCACACTGACCTTGTAAACACCGCCTATGTAAACTCTGCCTCTTGATGCAGCAGTGGGATCCTCGCCGTGATCACAGACCTCCACACATGTGCAGTGATGCAGACTCCGGTCCAGTCTCTGCTTTCCCACTACCTCCCCTCTCCTCCCCTCTCCTCCCCTGCTCTCTCCTCGGCACTGCAAGGCCAATTAGAGTACATCCCATGTTTCTCTCTCCAGGGCGACTAATTAAACACCAACCCCTTTTCTCTCTCTGTCTGCTCTGTCACCGGGTTTCATCTGCGGCTACAACCTGCTTCAGTCAATCCCACCTCCTCTGGTCATCGCCTCTTTCGGCCCATTTGTCACGGTGGACTTTGATGACCACACAGGGGCTCTCCTTCAGAGGCGGTCTCCACGAAGCAGTTTTGGGTCTCTGGTGCGGGTGTCAAGCGTAGAGCAGGCCCTCCCCTCCTGTACGCTTTAGCCGGACGTCCCGATCCGACAGCGCTGCTCCTCTTTAACAACGTTCCCCTCAGTGCGGACGCGTTGCCCACGGTCCCAGCTCTGACAGCAGCAGCGCTAATGAGCCAGTTCCAGCTCCTCTCGGCTTCCTGTCAGGCTGTTGGCACGGCCGGGATACATGACTGCACTGGTCAAGTCATGTGACCCCTGTACACGCTGCAGAATGATAAGTGTAGTGTCAAATTATACTCAGAGTGGATTGTGCACAGGTGGAGAGAGTGTAAATATATTAGAGTCGTTTGTTTCTTCTGTGTCAGACAATTAAAGAGATAGCGACGCAATTACCGTGACATTTTTCAACTTCCGTCGTCCTCCCTCTTCCATCCTTCGCCCTTCTGAAAGTTTAGTAGATCAGCATTCGTCTTTGTCAACAGTCATGTGTGGCGCCCCCTGCAAGTGAAAGCCAGATTGCAGTAGACCTATGAAGCTAAGCTGGGCAGGGCCTGGTTAATACGGTGATGGGAGACCTCTGGGAACACCAAGTGCCACAGTGGGGCGGCTGCGGCTGTAAAGTGCCCTTAGGCAAGACACTTCCCCCACTTTAGAATGAGTCTGGTGTGTGTGTGAAGGCTGGTGGTGATGGCACAGACTGGTTGCCTCGCTTCTGTCAGTGTGCCCCAGGGCAGCTGTAGCTTCAGTAGTAGTTTATCACCACCGTGTTTGGAGTTAAAGAACATGTGAAGCGTCTTTGAGTGTGCAGAAAAAAGCTGTATAAAACTGATATATTACTATTATCCAGTCAGGCACCCCCAAAATATGTGTGAAAAACTCGTTGCTGACCTCACAATTTACAGCACTAATAACATAAAGTGTAGTGACCTCTGCTGTTGACAGGATTCCCTCGTGCCGTTGAGGGATGGGTCAAATGCAGAGGACAGATTTCCCATAAGATCTTTGCATGCTGAGTACATTCTGTTATCTGTGTTTGTAATTAGCTCCATCAGTCACGAGCTCAGACCAGAGTGCTCCTGGTGAATGTGAATGAGCGTCTACAGCTGTTGTGTTCTTGGCCCAATCCTCTCGTTCCTCTTATTTCTGAAAATAAATGATTTGTTTGTGAGTGATCCATCGCCTTTTATCGCAGCCAAAGGGGAGGTTTTAACAAAGAAGAACTACTCATTGCAGCGTGCCTTTCCCCAATAGAGAAGTAAAGTAGGATATGAAAAGGATCCAAGGAGATACTGGCGCAGAGTTTTAGTGGGAACGGCAGAGAACAGAAAGCATTCTTCACGTCCCCGACACAACACTGGAGCATGCACTGGAGCTTTAAAGAGTGGTTCCAACAGTAAAGATTTCAGAACATGTATATTCAAGTTCTTAAAAAATAGCCCATGCTTTAAAAATGGTTTTGTTTTCATGTAAACTTGTTCCAAACTGAGAAAAGAGCGAGTGTGTGTATACAAACAGGTGTCTCCAACCTTTTCCACCCAGAGAGCTACATTCCCAGGCCGATAAAGGCAGAAAGCTACTCCTTTGAGCGAGCTTGATATTGGGTAAATTCATTATTTTCCATCACATATTTGTTATTAGTGCTTAAAGTAAGTGCATTTACAACAACAAATAATGATAATGAATTTAACAATCTGAAATATTAAGTATATTATTTGATTTGTTCATGTCAATCCTTTGGGGAGCTAAATCTGGAAGGGGGTGGGGAGCTACTGGTGTCTCCCGAGCTATAGGTTGGAGATACATGTAGTTATCACTATAGAATGGAATTGGATTGTTTTATGGGTTTCTAACTGTAAACCATTGATTATTTTGGGATTATTTTTGTTTTGTTAAGCACCTTGAGTTGCCTTCTGCATGAACCGTGCTATACAAATAAACACGTTTTGCCTTGCCCTAAAGGATTGAAATGTCTAAATTCTTTGCTGAGTTACTTGGAAGGGTGTGGCGAGCTACTGGTAGCTCCCAACCCAAGCTACAGGTTGGAGACCACTGGTCAATGCTATCCACTAAAAGCTGTTAAACCAAGGAGTCGCATCAAAACCATTGACTGTCATTGACTTTGCATTGAAACTGGACGCAACCCATGGTCCGGTGTGAACGCCTTTAATGCTCTGAACCAACTCCAAGCTGGGAAAATGTGAGCCAATGAAGCGCTTCAAAACACACTGACACAGTTGATACAAAGTGAAGCAGCTGCTGCAGATTCCGAGACACTGACACGTTTATCACATGAGCGGATGTTTTTCCCATACACGCAGTTTGCTTCAGGAAGTGCGACACACGCTCTGGAGCTTCAAAGTTGCTTGACCGTCATTAGTGCACAGTAACACGTGTTTGCATACCTGTAAGATTACTGTGAGTCACTATGTAAGGGATAACGTATATTACGCAGGTCATTATCGGAAAATAAGTACCGACAGGGCGAAGCGGACCCCGACGCGCAGCGGAGAACACACAGCATAAACTTCAGTCCACTTTTAGGAATGCCAAAAGGTTTATTTAATGACAGAAAATAAAATAGTTCCCAAAGGCTTTCCCGTGGCTATGCTAGCAACACATAGGCTAGCAACTTCCAAACTAGAACTCTCTGGAACTGCATGAAAACTGAACACAGAATCCTGAACATCAGCGGTGAGTGACCCAAACATAAACTTAACCTAAATCCATAATTCCATCCTCTGCAAATGTTCCTAAAATGTGCCGGTATCTACTTCCGGGTTTTTCGGGATCGCCTTTTCTCGCATTACATCAGTGTTTTTGTCATGAAAACGTAAACGGAAAATTCTGAAAACTTCCGTGCACTTGTATTAAGACTGGATATGCATAATTCACTCTCCGATTAACATTTAATTGCGTTGATTGATTGGCATTTGCGTTTATTGAGCAACCGGAACTACTTCCAGGTTTTTCACGATCGCTTTTTGACCATAGACTGTATTGACGCAGAGAAATAGTATTTTTGTCATGAAGACAAGACCAGAAAATTCTGAAAATGTCCGTGCACATGTGTGAAGAATGTATATGTATAAGTATTCTCTGATTAACATTTAAGTGTGTTGATTGAGCGTGGCTAGCTCCAGAGTGGCCGGAACCACTTGCGGAGTTATCCACGCATTTGAAAGACAAGCAGAGAGTGCGTTGCCAAAGGGCAGCGGTCATTATTGTTTTGAGAGGTCCGTTATAGAAAATAACGTTATATTCAAATCAATGGAGCATTCTCCTGCTGCTGTGAGGAGCTGTATAATAATTATTATTATAAGATGCTAGTATTTTATTACATAGATATTTGTGGATGGAAAGTAAGGTGCCGCGGCTTTAAGTGCCTTTAACGACATCAGTTTTCTCACAAATCCAGCTGGTGCCACCGGGGAAAAAGATCAGTAAAAGGCTGTGAATGCCAATTTTATTTATTGTTTCGATGAATTGCACAGCCTGTTGCTTTCCGATGCTAGTTTCCTCTCGAGGCCCATGAAACAGCGAGTCCGGGGAGCAGCTAAGGCGGCTAAATCAGAAATGACAGCTTTGCATTCAGTACCACGTTATTACTTCACGGCAATCACACCCCGCAAACACCTACCCCACAAATATGCGTAGAACAGCCATTATTTCAGCTCTCTCTCTGTCGACACTTGATTGATAAGACGTTTTGTTTTGGTGACACCAGCCAGATCGCTCTTTCTTCTTTTCCTTATTCAATCCCGGATTCCTGGAGCACAACTAATCCGAGCTAAAACTCCCCGGATTCCTCCCTTTGCCGGTCGCAGTCAGTCAGTCCCTGGTGTTCTGTCATTCCTGAAGTGGCACTAATCCTGCGCACACTCTTCTCTTTTTCATCTGGTCTCTCCTCCCCTCTGCTTTTTATGATCTGCCGTTACCAGAGCAAAACTAATCTGCCGCACTCTCTCTCGCGGTCTGCGGTCCTGCCCGGCCCCTCGTGTGTCGGCTCCAATAGGTTTTTCTTTCCTTCCTCCCGGGATCTTGACACACAACGTTATTCTCACCGGGTAGTAACTGTATTTACTGCTTTTTTCTCGACAATGTGGTTTCTCTGGCAAGTCTAAGGCAGGTGCTTGATGGATTAGGGACTTGATCGTCTGTGGGCAGATGGGTTAGTACAAAGAGGAGGAAATGACACTAGGGGGCGCAATCGGGCTGAACCAAACATTTGTTTTTGTTAATTTAATTCTACTTCTTTACTTTATTTACTTCATTTTGTTGCTTAATATTGTTATTGTCTACTTACTTTGTGGGGTTTCCATACGTCATGTTCTTGTTGTTTTTTTGTGCCGTTACTGTTATTATTGTCTGTTCTTGTCTTGTTGCTGTACTGTGTAAAATGTTTAAATGTGTATCTGTTATTGTAGTGTTTTGGGGGTGGGCACCAATGAGCCCTTGCTTCGGCCCACTCCTTTTTAGCAGAACTTGTCTGCTAAAAATAACAAGGAAATCTGGAATTTGAATCTGGAATACATTCATCTCTCTTTAGATTTGACTAACATTTTATCTATTGCTCGGTCGGGAAGGGAGCAATCTGCGCAGAGACAGCCAGACTTCTCTGTCCAGGCCTGATCCAGGGGAATCTCAGACCAGCAGAGAGACGAAACCCTCTTCAGCAGGTCCCGGGTCGTTCAGACAGCATCTAGAACAGTTTCCTCTCTCAAAGTGGTGAAGCAGCAGCTCTAGTCTAAGCTCCTCCTGTGTTTCTGATCCTATCGTTATGGGTGTGTTCTGTCTTCAGTCCCAAGTGAATCAACGTCCACTTGAACCAACTAAATGCTTAATGTGAGAGATGTGAAACCACCAAAGAGGCTGAAGTGATTACTGCGAGAGTGCAGATGTGTTTGGTGGTTTCACATCTGCACAAACACAGGATAAAGTGAAACCAAATTAGTTCAATTAGAGTGAGCTCTGGTTGAGTTTGGGCTGAAGTGTGGATATACCTCAAGGGAGAGTCCAGTCACTGCAGAAGACGCTCTTTTCAACCCCCAGTACTTGTGTGTTAATCTTTTGGTCTATACCCAAAGCTGCTCTTTTTTAGTTCGTTTTATTTCGTTGTCTTGTGCACACTGGGGAGTTTTGCAAATGTATCCCACTGTGGTTTTACTGCACATTGCAAATAAGATGGGAAAAAAGATTGGCCGATAAATCAAGAGCTTTTGACTCAGCTCTTTACCACAACAGTCTGACACAGC